AGTAGCGCCTTATTGTCCTTTGCTGCCACTTGGTTTGGTTTGTTTGTTTGGCTACACTTTTGCATATTTCTCAAGTCCTTTGTTTGGGCTCGCTGTACGGTAGCCATTTGTCCATTGTTCGCTGCACAATTTTGATGTAATTCAAGTGCACAACAATGGTACAGGTAATTCCCATGAATTCCTTTCACATATCCTTGCTGTCACATGTGCCGACTCCAGACTCCCGACTGCTGCCTGACTCCAGTGGTCAGTGGCCATCAACAATCGCATAATTATCAGGAACTATTTGGTCGGCAAACGACTTTCAAGTGAGCAAGTAGCCAGGATCATGGCTCATGTGTCCTATTTAGCGCTTATCTTGGCCAGAAATTTGTAGAACTGCATGGCATATGTGTGTGTGTGTGTTTCAATTTAGCCGCAAAACGGGTGTCAATTTGCTCCAGATTAGCAACATATGAAGCAGATTCCAAGTACTCCCAATCTATCGCTCTCCCTATGTAGATCTGTATCTGTATCTGTAAGCGTGTCGTTCAGCGTCTTCCTGTCTGGCGCAGAGACTCTCCTTCTCTTTTCTTCGCTTGCTCACTCCTGCTGGGCCCAACATCAACTGGCAGTATTTCCAGCCGGCGGGCATAATAAACGTTTCAATATTGTCAACCGAAAAATGCAAGACACAACTCTGACTAGGATATTTATATGCGGTCTGTGGTGAGGCAAAGGCAAGCCTTTGCCCTGTCTGGCCAGCGGAAGCTTTCATTTAGTGTGCGTGGTTGTCTCAGTCCAAGGTTTCCCACATACACATACACAGCCTCCTGGTGTGTACTGCCTGAATATTAAATTATGAAACTAAATGTCAAACAAGCGCTTGATTTCACTCAACTACAGATATTTGCAACTTCCTCTGCCTGCGCGCCTGTATTTGATTACGGCCTCAAGCAGCAAAGGATATTGAATAATTTCATCGTTACTCTGTCTGTGTATGTGTGTGTATGCCTTTATGCCTGTATGCATTAAGACGTAAGCCAAGCTGAGCTGCGGTTGCTGGCCAGCAAAGCAGTTGCTCATTTATTGGCATATATATTAAATTCTCAGCCAGCAATTGGAAGTTCATTTTGCGAAAATTGTTTGTGATATGCTTTTAGCTTAATCTAAATCTATCTTGTACTGCTCCAAATACAGGGTGTTTGTACGAGCTATCAATTTTATTAAGTGACCATTTTAAATATTTAATTTATTTATATATATGAATTAATCAATTAAGCAACTGTCTATAATAACAATGGACTCTATAAATACCTTTGATACCATTGAAAAAATAAAATTGCTGTAAAAACTTAGGTTTGACAAGGATTTACTTTTCTGAACAGCTCAAACCCTTTCCCTAAAATCGATTTACTTATTTTATTATATTATGTTACGTGTATACATCAGTTTTAATCACTTAATGCCATATTTTAGTAACGTTCGAGCCATTATTTACCTTTATAATTAAGAAGTCAACTCCTTTTTCAGTGCCTCAAACTCATCACAATGTCAGCAGCAGCATCAGCGTCAGCATCAGCTATTAACCTCCCCGCACTCACACACATACACATACACACACACACACACGCTCACAATTAGCCTAAAGTCAAAGCGGGTAAAAGGAGAAAAATCTAAAATTGAAAACCCCATGTGCTCTACAACGAACCCTCTAAACTCCAATCCAAGCTAAAGCAAAGCTCAAGAATCTGCCGGCACTGCTTCTGATTCTGCTGCTCTGCTCCGCTCAACATCCGGCAGACAATGGAAGGCAGACGCTAAGTAGACGAAAAGTTTTTAGTTGGATTATATTTTGTGTGGGGTGGGCTAGGGGGAGGTGGGTAGATAAGGCAACACACAAACACACACAAACACATACAGTGAAATTCGTTTTATTACTTTGATATATTAGATTTAATGGTTAAGAAAAATGTTGCCAGCAGCAGCAGCAGCAGCAGCAGCTCACACTCACACAGACACAGACACAAACAGAGACACCCACACTCACCCACACACATACACACACCCATACAGAATCAGAATCTCAGTCTATTGTCATTGTGGGTGTTGTGGGTCGTCGTCGTCGCAGTTAACCTTATTAAAAGGTGAACACAGTCATGGCACCAGAGAGAATTGCCACAATGTGTTTACACGCAGCTCAAGGGGGTTGCACCCAGAGGAGTGGGGCCTTGGGGGATGCTCAACACGATAATGACCTCGTTGCTCGCAAATGTGTCCCCGTGTGTGTGTGTGTGTGTGTGTGAGCTGAGCTAAAATTGCCCAATAGCAATTGAGCTACACAGCGCATGTCCGTTGAGCGTGATTTTTCTCTGTCTTCATTTTGGCCTAGTGGAGCGACCCCCATAGAAGAAGATGGGCTGAGGAAGGCGAGAGAGAGAGAGAGAGAGAGAGAAAGGGGGAGAGAAGCGCGGGTGTCTGCATTGATGTGCTAATTTAGAAATTACATTGAAGTGCAGTCTTCAATGAGTTTGAGTTTGACTTTGATTCAATTTGTCATTTCACACTTGCGCTAAATGGCTTTCGTTGCCATGACTGGAGTGCTTGCCACTTGGAGCTTGCAGCTTGGAGCATAGCTAGCACAAACACACAAATAACGCTGCAAACATGATGCAACAATAGATTTGAATCTACCGATATAAACGCTGATCACTCGAAGGGGCTGATCGGGCAGGCAGGCAATTAGCAGGCAAATTGATCGTCGTCTGTTTTCATTTTGGGCTAATGAGCTGTGTGATTTGATGCAGGATAATGTGAAGCGAAGATTGCCTAAGTGCGCTGATGATGCTGCACAAATCATGACTAGATCAAAGATTAGCAGCGCCTGGTAACCAGGTAGGCGCTCGCAAGGGCCAACCAAACTAAGTCCTTGCAGGATCAGCTCACAGCTCTCAGCTCTATATTAAACGAACGTGCAATCGGATTGCTGAATGAAATCTGCGCTGTGTTCGCGTCCTATGCAAATATGATTAAGCGCCTATGCTCTATGCTAATCGCACGCACACAGGCCTAAGCTCCGCCTGAGAGTCCTCGGCGTGTCCTGCGTTTGCGTGTGAAGTGTGGCGTCACACATCTGGCACCGTAATGAGTTTGGTCAAATTTGCGCTACTTGTTCACACAATTCCCGGGAAATTACGCTCGCTGCGAGCTGGTCACGCATTGTCCAGTTTTTGGCTTTGGCTTTCGCATTGTTTTGTTGCAACAAATTAAGACATCGAAAGAGAGAGATTTCAAGTGCAGCCATTGTAGGCGGCGTTCGGAGTGCTTTGAGGCATTGTTTGGTTTCTGGAATGCCAATCTGTAAATATGCCATTTTGGCTGCTCCTTTGTTGTTATGATGCAACCTGCGTTGTCATCGTGTTCTCGTTGCATAAGGTTCAAAGCTTATCGGCCAGCCACATACTTCCTCTAAGCCCGGCTCAGTCAAATCCATGCAAGTTCCAAGGCATAAACAAGGCTGAGGGCTGCTTAAACTATTGCTTAAGTTCAAGCTTCTTTGGTTTTTTAATAAAAAAGATTTAAGGCGATTTTGGTAAATTGTAAAAATAACCAAGATTTAGTAATTCTGATGACTATTTTAATTTCAGATTAACATTGCTTAAAAACTATGTGGAATACTTTATTTTAACTTCATAAATTTGATTTTCCTCACTATTCTAAATAAGTTGTTAAGCATAAATAAATTATATAAATATTATTATAGTAATGATTGTAAATTGTATATACTTTATTTTATAATAGATCAGCGTTTTATGAAAATATAAAAAATATTTTGAACATGTAAATTCTGAATTGTGTTTAATTTAATGTTAAAATGGTTAAAACTGGGTGAAAACCTTTAAATGATATAAGATTTTAAGCCAAAATAATTAATAAATATAATTTTAGAAATAATTGTAAATATATATATGATTTTATGAATTGCTTACAAATTATTAACTATTTAATTTTGACGTGCAAACATGTTATAATTAAGGTTGATCTTTGTTGTGTTCTAAATATTATTTATGCCATTCCGACCTACAAATATATAACTGAATCTATTTAATAGTTAATATCAGCGCATTTGACAATCCAGCAGATCCTCAAATTCGAACGTGCAACAGATCCGTTTATTCAATGAAACCCTTGCCAACTGATGCTGCTAAGTAAAGGGATTCCTCATTGAGCATTTGGATTGTTCAATGAAATGCGGGGCTCAATTCTTAACCCGAGCAGATCATAAAATGCCCGGACAAGGTGCATCATTTACGATGTGGCCGATGGTAAGCTGGGCATAAAAAAACGGAAATCATAAATGCGCTATAAATGGCCGCCTAGGTCCAGGTAGGAACTAACCTGTTTTGTGATTTGTTGATGCGTAGAGAGACTGCTTGCGTGTGCGTGTGTGTGTGTGTGAGAGAGAGAGAGCGAGTGAGAAAGTAAGTTATGTGGCGCACAATGTGTGTGTAAACAGTGTGAGTAACTAACAATCAGAGCTGTGTTTAATGAGTACATTTTTATGAAATAAATAAAATTAATCAGCAAACATGAATGCAGAGCTGAGTAGCAATCAAATTGAATAAGCAAGATAGAGAGACAGAGAGAGAGAGAGAGAGTGGAAGAAGAAGAGAGTATAGCAATCAAAGAGAGAAAGAGAGAGAGAGAGAGAGCGAGAGAGAGTGAGCAAGAGAGCCGCCCCTAGACTACCTGTACAGCATGCACAGGGGAAGCATTTTGCCTCTTGCCTTGGTCGCAGCCCAATGAAACAGGGGAAACTACCCTGGCGCAAGCGAGACAGGACAACAGCAGGATAACAGCCACAGAGCCTGCGCCTCGCCTCGCCCATATTTCACTTGCCATCGAAATCAGCAGCAGAAGCCAAGCAGCAACCAAAAACGCCTCTCCGACGTATTTAATGCCCATGTTGAGCTGCCGCCGAGCTCAGTCGGTGGTTGTTGATTGCTACCAGCGTACGTGTCATTGTCATCCGAGTAGCCCTAGCAACCGTACCGTGCCCCAAAACCTATCAGTAAAACATAATTAAATTTGTCTGCTAACTAAACTTTTGTGCGTGCGCGTTTTTAGTTATTTGTGCATATCAAAGCCTAAGTGAAAACATAACAACAACAACAGCAACAGCAACTTGTAGTTAAATTGAGTGCAGTTTTTCGATAGTGCGCTGGGTCATGCATGTCGCGAGCTTCTGGCAGTAACGGTAAAGCTATAGTCTTCCAGAGGCAGCTACAGATTGTTGGTGTTGCCTGCGCTTAAGCGATGATGACCACAACAACAACACAGCAACATCCCATCATGCCGCCAGCCATGCGTCCAGTTCCAGAGAGCCCCGTCTCGAGACCCCGCGCCGTCTACAGCATCGATCAGATACTGGGCAATCAGCACCAAACGAAACGCAGTGGTAAGGTTATTTATAACATATTCAACATATTTATATTATTTATATAGCTGATATATCAATTAAAACAATTGGCTAAAAGCAGCTCTGAATTTGCTCTTCTCGGTTGCCGTCGGCGATCGTTACGTTCGTGGTTAATCCGAGCGGATCTCAAGTCAAAAAATACAAAAGCAATAACAATTGAATAATTATTATATATTTGTGAATTCTAAGACCCACCAGAGCCAGCTGAATAAATATTACTTGAGTGACTTAAACTTTGTTTGTAGCTACAAAAAAGCTTTTGAATTCTTCAGACTGTCTTAAGTATTGATATAAATTTATTAAAGCTATTAAAATTAAGGTCCCATTTCAATAAATTATTATGGCATTTGAAAATTCAAAAAAGGGCCAGAGAAGGAATTGTTGTAAAGTATTTACTTTACTCATCAAGATATATTTAAAATGTAAATAACAGCTGTCTTTATATGTTATATTTGTTCGAATATTGCTTTCGTATTTATTTCAAACAATTAATGTGTATTTAAGATTAGTTTTGCAAGAATCTTTAATTTTTGTGGGAAAAGCATTTTCATTATTAAAAAAAAATTGTTGAGTGAAATTTGTTGAAATTTCAAAAGTATTCCGAATAAAAATGTATAAATTCATTTAAACAGGCAACATTTTTACTACGACTCACTGACTATAGACTCATACGCAATCCCTTGTAGGCATTTTAAAATAATCCTTCGTGTCTCATGAATTGAGGATAGCGTATTCCACTTAAAACCCACATCAAACGTGCAGCTAACGTTGTGGCTGTGGTTGTCTTCATCGTATGCAAATGAGGACGAGAGGACATGGTCATAGTTTCTGGGCAATCTACACAAGTTGGCCATGTTTCACACTCATCTACCGGTATCAGCGCAATGGGGCGTTCCGATGTTTGATAGCATGTAGTGGGCGTGGCCGGTTGCCCGCTGCGTGTACGCGGCTGTAATGCGTACCCAGAGGTCCTGCGCGAACTCGTTGAGGACTCTGCCAAAAGGCAAGAAATAAAAATAAAATAAAAATAAAAAAAAATGAAAATGAAAACGCTCGAGAGCAAATCAAAACATATCACGATATTGATATCCTGGCAGCCGGTCTCAGTAATGAGACGCTTGGCATCATTAGACCCGTAATTAGATTGAGATTGACATTCATGGGCAGCAGCAGCAACAGCATCGGGAGCAGGAGCAGGAGCAGAAGCGGCACCCAATGTTGTCAACAAGGTTACAATTTGTGACAACGTGCGCACCGCAGGACATTTTTTGGGCAGGATATATGTGCAGAGTGCAGGCGCAATTTCATGCGATGCCTGACGCGTAATTTGATGCTTTGGAAATTACCTTTTTCGCCACAACAAGCGGCATAAATGTTACGAAATACATAATCGCCCGCCAGACCAAAACGATAAGGATAACAACAGAGCGACAACGCACTCCACAATCTTGTGCTCTCGATGTCCTGCTGGGCTGTAGTGCAAGGACGAAATCGTCGTCCTTCTGCCTCGTCATTGTGAATATTATTAATTTGAGGTTCATTAAAATTTGATTACATGTTCTGCTAGAAAAAAACTCTGGCTCAGGTTCTCCAAAAACACACACACATGCAAGGACACAGTCTAAAGGGCGTGTGAAAGGACTAGCTTAGGGGAACAAGGGTAGCACAAAGGGTTGTTTTAAAACTTTTATTTGAAACTGTAGCCAAAGTAGCGAACCGAAAAGAAAGAAAGTTGTCGGCCTTCAAGTAGTTAAAGTTAAATTCGCTGCTGCTCATAATTATTTGTTATTGATTGCCAAATCAAATTGCGTGGCACTTACTCACTCACACACACATCCACACACACACTTAAGCACACACACACACACACACATATATATATGTATATAGAGAGAGAGAGCACTTGAAAGCTTGCCGCTTAAAACGTTTAAAATGGGGGTTAGCTGGCAATCAGTCAGGATATATCAGGATATTACTACTTCAGTTACAATTCAATGAATTTGCTTTTCGCAGCTGCCGAGCGCAAACTTTATTTTATTTCCCTTTTTTTTTTATTTTTGCCTTTTCTTCCTCTGCTTTTTGCTATATGCTCTTTGTACCGATTTTATTTCAAAGTCAAACACAAATCGCCGAACTTTTAAAGCACTTGAAATCAATTGAATTGCATTTGGCAACAGTTTTTGATTTTTCTCTTTTATATTTGTATTTTACAGATACACCCAACGAGGTGCTTATAACGCATTCCCATCACATCCATCATTTGCACAACAACAGCAGCAGCAACAGCTTGCTGCAACATCAGCAGCAACAACACCAGCAACATCACCAGCAACAACACCAGCAGCAACATCAACAACAGCAACAACAGCAGCAACAACAACTGCAACAACAATTGATTGGGAAACGAGAGGATTCACCCACGAATACAGAGAGCGGACTGGATGTCGACAACGATGATGAGCTCTCCTCGAGTCTGAATAATGGCCACGATCTGGGCGATATGGAGCGTCCGCGCAAAGTTCGTAGGTAAGCAATAAAAAATAGAATCGAATCGAATCGAGTTGTTCACAATCCGCTTAGCAGATAAAATCGTATTAACCCATTGTTGGGCCCATTAACAAGCAACTAAACAACATCATTGTTATCATCAGCATCATCATCTTATTACCCTCTCTGGCCTTTGTTCCATTCGCAGATCTCGCACAACTTTTACAACATTTCAATTGCATCAATTGGAGCGCGCGTTTGAGAAAACCCAATATCCGGATGTTTTCACAAGGGAGGATCTGGCGATGAGACTCGACCTGAGTGAAGCACGCGTTCAGGTAATGCATCTATCATTGGATATTTAATCAGCTAGCAATTGAGTATTTTAGCTGGTGATTATGTAATTATTAGCGACTTAAGGTGGGTGGGGCAGGTCAATGCCCAAAAGCTAAGCGGCTTAAAGCATATATGCATATGCAGCATTTGTAATTGGCCGATAAGCGCCAAAAAAAAAAAAAAAAAACAATCGCTAACAATCAGAGGACTTAATTTGTAAATAGTCTTTTAAACACTTAGTGCCCACTTTGTACGCAAACACACATAAACACACACATATACCTAGGCAGACGAATAGATTTCTAGTTGGGGTTGCTGCATTAGGGGTGGCTAAAGGACGTTAGATATTGTGATTTTCCAAATGATTAAATTGGCAGGGCTGCCAACGTTTTTGGTGTTGGTATTTTTATTAACTCTACTTTTGGGTAAACAATTAAAGTGGCTTTGGGTGGTGCACGCGACGCTGCTTAACGCACGGCTACACATGTAATTTTTGTGATCCTTGCCGGCGATGCTTGCGCAATTTGATTTCAGTTAATATGTTTTCAAGCACTCGAACTGTTTGATTGAGCGCTTCGCTACTCGTTGACAGATACCAGATACCAAATACCAGATGCCATATACCAGAGATATGTACAACAAAAAAAGTATGTGAGAACAACTTGACCTAAGCGCTTGCACTCACTGAGGGATTAGCACTCGTCCTCAGTCCTGCGTCCCTTGTCTGCTTGTCCTGCTTGCCTTCTGCATACAAATTGTTCGTTTCACGGTTGTTGTGTTCGTTGGCAGATTAAGCGTAATTGGTCATTGATTCACATACGTTATGCGCCATGCTCTCAGTTCCACTTCAATACTTCAATAGTAACAGATTTAAAACGTTGCTTTTTTTTCAATTTCAGCTGTTCTGCTGTTTGTTTGCTTGTTTGTTTGTTTTTTTTCTTCTTTCTAGTATCTATCAGATACTTTGTAGCTGAGTAACATGGGGTTGATGAGCGGTCAATTATTTCGGGATTTGCATGACAGGCAAACACAGTCGACAACATTGTGCAGAACACTCCCCATCCTCCATTTGAAGTCATACTTTGCGATTTTTACATTTGTTATCCAGTTTTATATTTTATGTTAAGCGCTTTTTACATCATAAATCAGTTTGATAACGTTTTTAATCTGTTCGAAAGAGTTGCTTAGCGAAAGTCCTTAAGGAGAACGTATTTTCGCTTGTGATGATATTAAATTTTCCTAGCGTGGTATAATAATATTTATAAATTTTAAAAGTTGATAAGTAAATAATAAATAGATGGTAAATAAAAATAAGAAGCAAATATCATATTTAAAATATTTCATTTACTCTTTTCACAATCAAGCAGATTATTTCCGGAAGATTTCAAATTATTTTTAAGCGCATTTCATTTAGTTGTAGTATAATATATAAATCATAGGATTATCTTGCTGCTAATCATCATAATAATATTTTGATCGCACATGTGTGATAAATGTGGGCAGGATATCCGTGAATTCAACTTTTACGAGTAGGCTTGGCTGGTCGCCTGGTTGGGCCTGGAAAGTGGTTTAGATTGTTGGCCAAAGCCGCATTATAATTGCGCTTCTAACAATTAAAATGCGCACAAAATTACAAGGGATGCAGCATATATGGGGAATAGAATTGTGGAGGGGGAGGGGAGGGGAGAGGGCGAGTGCCACACAGACACAGGACAATAATTGGCAGCAATTATTGCGAGGAAATCGTTGCTAATTTACTACTCGCTCCGTTGCACGCATTGTTGTTGCAATTGCTGTGTGGGTGGGTTGCGGGTGGATGGCAACAGTTAAATACAGGGTGTCTATAATTGCACAACTCTCTTGTGGGCGCACTGCACAGTTGTCAAGTGATTTACAATTTACAAACAATTAATTTTCTTAATGCAAGCTCAGGCCAAGAAACGAGACAGCGAGACGAGCATCGTCCACTGTTCCGGCCTGAAGATTCAGGCGGAAGTGCTTTTGGGTGGCAGCTTCAACCCTGGCAAGTGTCAAAAACGCATAAGACAAACCCCATTTCAAATACACATACGCTCACATACAGACGCACACACACACACACACACACACACACACACACACATGCAGAGACATTGAAGAGTTAGAGGCAGCTCTGCACAAATCAGAGCTGCACACTTCCGATTGGATGCCATTGTATTTGACAGACGCAGACTCCGACAGAGACTCAGGTCGGAGGACACTGGCTCAGATATGTGCGGGTTAGTTGATCAACTTTTTGCCCGAATGGCAGACAACTTGATAGATTGGTCAGGGCAATTACAAAAGACGTTACAACATTTGCATACGCAACTCTAACTGCAACTTTTGTCTAATTCTCTCTCTCTCTCTCTCTCTCTCGCTGGTTGCTTGCAGGTGTGGTTCCAGAATCGTCGCGCCAAATGGCGTAAACGTGAGAAGTTTATGAATCAGGATAAGGCTGGCTATCTGCTGCCCGACCAAGGTAAGCATTTGATTCGACACCGAAATTGGCCCAAATTACCAAATTACGTGTGCAACATAATTAAATTTTGTGTATGCATAATCACCAATCTACAAGCCGCAACTTACCCTCGCCATCTCCTTCTCCTTCTTTTTCGCTTTCACTCTTTCAATCATAGGTCTGCCCGAGTTTCCGTTGGGCATTCCGCTGCCGCCGCACGCACTTTCCGGCCATCCGGGTGGGCTGCCCGCCGAATTTTGGCCACCGCACTTTGCGTTGCATCAACATTTCAATCCGGGCCTGCTGCCGCAACAGCTAATGCCGCCCCACTACAAGCTGCCCAACTTTCACACGCTGCTCTCCCAGTACATGGGCCTCAGCAATCTGAATGGCATCTTTGGCGCTGGCGCTGCAGCGGCTGCTGCCGCAGCTGCCTCGGCCGGCTACCCGCAGAATCTCTCGCTGCATCCATCGTCGGCGCAGGTCAGTCCGCCGTGCAGCAACAGCAGCCCTCGCGAAAGTCCCAACTCGTTGGCGCCTCATCCGCTGCAAGCGGCATCGCATGGCGCCACCACGCTAATCTCTGGCGACCTGACGCTCACCTCGACGGCGGCGCAGTCGCCGCGCAGCGCAACCGGCGGCAGCAGCAACGCCTCCACGCCCGTCTCCGTGGTAACCAAGGGCGAAGACTGAACAGGAGCAGACTTGCACAATGCGTGGATTCGATTTGAATTCGCATTCGCGGTGATATATAATGGACGGATTGTGTATATATATAGCTATATAGTAGCCGATAATTGTATACATATATACAGAATTGCAAGTATTTCACAAATATTGCATACTTATAAGGAAGTTAGCTTTTAATTAGCTGCTGCAAGTGTCACAAATTCTAGCATTAAGAATGTGTAAATTAATATTATCTTAAGAAAAGAAATAAATGAAACTAAAGAGAAACTTGTTTAATGTTTGATTTTAATTTAGCTAATGGTTTTGGTGCCATGGGTATGGAAAGTGTATACAAATATTTGGGTGATTTGTATTATCTCTAAACTTTCTCTAGAAAAAAATCAAAATATTTGATTTAATTTTTTCAATGGAGGAGATTGTTCGCAAAGTAATGTTTATTGTTATAAAGGTTGTGTTAAGTAAATATTACATAACGCTTGATTTTGAGAATGCTTGAAAAGTAAAACAAAACTAGCAAAATTAGTTTTGAATGTAGTCCTATAGACTTTCCGAGTATGTTGTGTTATTTTTGTGATTTAAAATCCAAAATTAATTAATTAAAATAACCAAAAATTATTATAAAACACTTTTTAAAAGATAATCTTTATCTTATATTTTCTAACTTGTGCCAATTTTTATTTTAAAATGCAGACAAGCCAAGTTTCAAATAGTTAAAAGTAGTTTTCTGAAACTACTTATACAATTTTCAATGCGTTGTCAAATTTACTTGCAAATAGTGTCCGTTCATTTTCAATTCAGTTCAAGATCAGCGTATCCTGGCGTGCATTGTTGGTGCGAATATTGTGCAATTGAAGCGAAAAATTAACAATTCATTAGAAGTAACTCGCAGTCTCAAGAACAGGCCCATTATAAAACTGTTGTATACAAGGAGTCGACCTTTTTGATGCTCAGCGAGTCAATGGAATTGATCTTCGACAGGACTGTGCAGTTTATTTTGAATTACTGTGTAATATAGCTAGCTGTAGAGGATTGTAGCAACCCCGATAATGCCTCAATGCGCTCAATGCGAGCTCAGCGCATTGAAAAGGCCAGGCGAACAAGAAGTAAGTAGTAGATGAAGTTGAAATCGAATAATAATCTTGATATTATGTCAAATTGCAAGCAAAAAGGAAATGTTGCATAACATGCTGCACATATACACAAATACACAAATACATGTGTACTTATGTATAAGAATGGAAGACGAGTCGAGAATCGAAGTAGAATAGAAGAAATCGCATTGTGAGCCGCAGACAGCAGCGGAAACAGGAGTGAAGCCAACTATGGAGGATGTGAGCTAAAGGATTTGCACAATTTCCAAATGTTGGTGGTGTGGTGCACAGTCAAACGAGCCGAACCGAACCGAACCGAGACGAGACGAACCGGTGTCTCGGATCTGGCTTTTGTATTGCTGGCTGGCCACATGCAGCGCTAAATGCTGTATTGATATCTAGTAATTTGTGCCATAATTACTTTTTAATAATTCTGCACTGTGCTGGGGCGCCACAGGACATCGCTTTTTGTGTGTGCAACGGCCTTAAATTTAATAAAATCGCCGTCAAGTTTGTGCTTCTGATTCATATTCGGCTGCTGGGTTGCAATTTGATTACACTTACCATTCTGTGAGGTCAAAATTGAATTCCTTGCACAAATACAACATCAACAACATAATTATGATCATCATCATCGTCATAATGAATGAATGCGCGACTTAACGGATTTGTCACTGACAAATGCGAAGAGTCGAGGACCAGCCCACAAAGGAGGCCCAGTCAGCGTTGTCAAAGCTGCTTTCATAAAACTCATATGCAAATGCCTTTGTGGGCCGACAGCAAAAGACATCGAACGTACTCCTCCTTAATACACTTTCCAGCAAGAGTACTAACGAAATTTAGTATAAATGGGCTACAACAGCTATTAACTTAAAGTTGATTTATTTAAGTATGCATTGTAGGTATAGAAATTGGATATATCGTAAGATGTCTGATTTAAGCAGACTTATTAATGCAGAAATACTCCAAAATATTTTGTAATATTATTATAGGGTTTAATAAATTAGAAACTTGACAAAAGAATTAATAGAGTCATTTACAAAAAAATATGATTTATATATATCTGTTTTTTAAATAGTTACTCTTGATGTTATACAATATTTCATTAATTTTTGGAAAATTTTATTTAGGCATTTAGGACATGTTTTTTTTTTTTTAAATAATTAACATTCACCAATTTGTAATATTTTATTTCAATAAAAATATCTCATTACCATATACTTTGTTTTTCGAAGTCCAGAAAATAGACAGAAATTAAATTTTAGATAACGTAGTTGTCGAATAAAAATTGAATTGTATACATTTAAATATATTATATATGTTGAAAATGGCGTGGAAAAATGGAGAGTTAAACGCAGTTTCTGATTATGGATTATATTTATTATGCGCGAGTGCGTTTTTACTTGTTGAAGAATTGAGAGCAACTTTTGAACTTAGGAAAATACAACGCAGTAAGAAAGAAAGACAATTCATGTGTGACCAGATCTTCGATACTAATCGATATAGCGATACTTAAGTATTAATCGTTGCTGCGATATTCAAACATATTTCAACAATATAAAAAACCTTTTTCATTTTTTATTTTATCAATATGCTGAAGAGCATTAAGGCGTTGTTGTGGCACACTCACATTTCTTCTTGTTCTATCAACGAAAATTCAATAAGTTGAAGTAGATCTTTTATTTGTGCAAGTGTTTGGGCAAGCTGCATGGAGCGTTCTGAAGGCTCTCTGCCCCCATTCACATTATTTCGGGCTCTGGCAAATGTCCCTGTATGTGCCTGTGTGTGTGTGTGTGTGTGTGTGTGTGTGTGTGTGCAAGGAATTTCATTCAGTGTGCAAATGCAGCGCCACTCTGCGGGCTATAAATATATGAAATTTATCAAGTGGCCTTTTGAGTTTCGTTTTTTTGGCTCTATGAAATTGAGTGTCGAGTGTCTCTCTCTCTCTCTCTCTCTCTCGCTCTAGCTTTTTTTGTGTGTGTGTGTGTGTGTGTGTGACTGTGTGAGTGTGCAGTATTTGCATTCAGCTCAGGCCAACAGTGAGTTTCACCTTGCAAAAGTATCTCAGATTGGATATGGGTGTGTGTGTGTGTGTGTGTATATCAAATATAATCAAGCACATTGCCATTTTGCTTGCAGTTTTATGAACCTCTTCAGAGGCCGAACAATGAAATGAAAATCAATTTCGGCACGACACTTGAGGCTCGAGCGCATTAAAATGGTAACAGTTACATTTACCAGCAACGCTAAACAGCAACAGCGGGTGGGTTGGGCAGTAGGGCGGAGGGGTGTGACGTGGGAGACATACACTTGAGGGGCTGGCTACATTTTGTTGCCGACTTGGCCGTGTAATGAGCGCAACTGTTGACGGCGACAGAAAAATACTGAATACAACGGTAATTAAACAAGTTAAATCCGCTCAACAGATGCTCAAGTCAGATTTCATTTCAGCCAGCAAGCCACCCATCCACCCAGCCAGGCTGTCATCCTTTTCATTGCTGCTGCTGTGCTGGTTACCGCATCATTATCATTTCATCATCAAGTTAAATATCATCAACATCAACATCATCGCTATCAACGTCTCCATTCGTTGTGTGCACTTAAAAAATTATTTAATTCATCAAAAAGTTGTCAGCGAAATAATTATGCAGCTTGTCTCTGCGAGCTGGGGACCTACTTATGTATGAAGGAGCGACTAATGAGCGCCATTTTGTTGTTGCCGCCTAGCGCCAGGATAATTACTGTAATTTGTGCCGACTTGAGACGCTGCCGCAGTGCGGCTCAAGTATCGCATGACACGTCGATCATCGAATCTGCGATCGCGGCACAAATTGCCAACTTACCGCAACATGCTGTTGCAACAACATTTCCGACAGGATATATACATGATAAGTATGTTGGCGACAGTCGAACACCACTCGAAACTCGATACTTTTCTATCGATCGAGGAGAGCCTTAACTCAAAGCAGGCCGCCACCTCCTCAAACTGAGAAAATGCTGAGACGACTTATCCTTGGCGGCGTTGAAAGTGAAGTGAAGTTTTCCTTTTTGTGCTGACTTCAATGAGCTAAGCTGTGCCTTATTTATCGTTTGCTGATCACCTCCTCGCAGCAGCAGCTGAGTGTCGTTCTTAAGTGTTCCTCTCTCTCTCTCTCTCTCTCTCCCACTCTCTCTCTCACTCTCTCTATGTTGTGATTAAAGAATGAGCAGTGGCCCCGCTGCTTTTGTTTATCGTTTTGCCAAAATGGTTTCATGCCTGATTTCATACGTTTCAATTTTGTTGTTTATCTGTGTTTTGGCCAGTCCAAAAAGACAAAGGAAAAACCAGGTAGTTAGCTGCTCTGTACAGCTGCTCCCACAGCTCCTGCTGCTGCTGCTGCTGCTGGGCAATTGTGCAGTTAATTGTGTCCTCATTAGCCAATGGTCGCCTCGGCTGCTTCTTATCCTTTTATATATTTGTCTATAATTGACGACATTTTCTCTGCTTTTCTTCAGCATGGGTACGTCTTAAGTATCTTCTATAGGCGTTTGGTTGGCTATTTGTTCATTTTGATATTGATACTTTTTAAAAGATTATTTTCATAAGAATTTGTAGGAAAACTGCAAAAAATAAGGGCAAGAAAATTAGTGGTTTGTATGTGACTATTTTTATATTTCAATATATATCTAGCTTTTATTACTTATTCATTGTGTTGTTATAAGACCCTAAAACCCTTTTTATATATCCATGTCTAGAACGGGCAATAGAACGCGGCCTTCGACAACAACAGAGCAAACGCGCCGTGCCTATTTATAATGATAATAAATTAAATAAACAAACAAATATATCAAAAAGCACACGCCAGAGAGAGTATTAAATAGAGCAAAAAATAGTATTAAATTAAGTTAATCAAATGTATGCGCTGTGAAATTGAGCAGCTGCTGTTCCAATGAACATTGACTAGATGGTATTATATTTGTATGTGTGTATATATATGTATTTGGTGTTGGCCTGTTTGCATATACACCTTGCCGCTAGGCATTCAAAACACAACCACAGACTCATAAATAATATTAATAAAAAGCAACAACGACAATGGCTCGAGTGCGAGGGTTAGTTGGCCACATGTGTGTGTGTGTCATTGCTGTTAAACTTTGTTTACATTTTGTTTATTAAACGACGCGGAAAACTAGTGACAAACACACACACACACACACACACACACACATACACCAGGCAGACACACACTTATGCAGGTACATATACAGATACAGCAAGTATCTCTGTCGCATGGGAAGCGTGTTAGAAACTATCAAGTCACACCTGACTGAGAATTTGCTACCCCTTTTGGCCAAAAAGCGCGTTGGCAATGAGTGAGTATTTGATTTTAATTAAATTTCCCGTAAGTTTGTCACAATTTGTGTTCGTATCTTGTGCCTCCTTGCTTGAGCCCTCGATCCCTCCCATCCTTGGATAGCGTGTTAGTTGTTGTCGCTTTTCGTTTTGTTTGCTTTAGCTGAGTTTTTATTACGTTCCGTAGCAGTTTGCTTTATTAATTGCCAGGTGAACAGCCTGACAGGTGTTACTTATGGCTTTCCTTTGATTTGGCTATATTTTTTGTTGCTTTTTTTTTTTTTTTATTTCAGCTCCTTTCTTATGAATTCTTAGACGTCCCCGTTATGGTATTGTTTTAGTCGAAAGAATTCCACGTGGCCCATTTCATCACAGGACTCTTTAATATTATTCAGCTCCTGCAGCAGCTGAGGTGAGCGTGCCAAATGAGTACGCTCTGTAGATGACTGTATATATAAAAACATATTTCTAGTATAATTTGTCTACTTGCCCAGTTCGCAGGATATGTGATTAATGGTCACATTAGTGAACCACGCATCGTCAGCAATTGGCATTTTGACTAAGGCAAAACAAGATATTGAACTGAACTGTGTAATTTTGAATAACCAAATGAGAAATGCTTAAAGCAAGACCTGCCTAGACAACAAAACAGCTCCAAGGCATATCAAATCGATTTCTAGGTCGGACTGAGAAGTCAGTTCAGTTCAGTTGAGTTCAGTTAGTTGATTGTGCGCGTACTTGGCCCAATTATTACGCCTGATTTAATAAACTCAATGAGCCTCTTAACTGCTCTAAGTGCCCGCTAATCGTTTCGCATCTTTTGCATCTGAAAACTCAGAGAGAAAGAGAGAGAGAGAGACAGAAACAGAGAGAGAGAGAGAGAGAAATAGGGAGAGATATAGATATAGAATTGTTATGCGACAGAAAGCACATCAAACGAAATTGATGACAAATGAAGCTGCGCGTCCTTTATTTGTCAGACAGTCTTTTGTGCTTCGTCCTGCGTCCTGCTGCCGCTGCTTCTGCTTCTGCTTCTGCTGCTCATTCACGCTAACTGCGGAAGCCGGAAACGCGCCACAAATTGCAAAGTTTGAGCAGCGACAGTCGCAATTGTTGTTGCCGCCTTCAACTTCTTTGGCAAATTAATTTTATTTCATTTTTTATTTTCTTATGTATTTTATTTTTGATCTGCTTGTGTAGGCATGACAAAATGGCAATTGAGCAATTGGGTAAACTGACGCTGGAAATTGACAGCAATTTTCTTTTCACTTTTCGCATTTCCCATGATTATGCGACGATTATAATAAATGCGAATTTCCTTGCCCATTTCCTTGGCTGTGGCTACGAATATTTAGCATTTCTCTAGCACTGCACAACGCAATCGAATCGAGTGTTTTAGAGGCGTGTCCTGACAGTTATTTGTCCTTATACCTCTTAATGAAATGTGAATGGGGGGATGCGCTGTTAAATATCGAAGACCCATCAATACAACTGGATAAATGATATTGAACTACAAATGGTAATTACAACCAAGTTTACAACAAATTTCAGTCTTGATGGTTAATAATTTAATTTAACTTAATCATTCAATGAATATCTGTAATAAATATATTTCTGATTTTATATTGGCTTTTTCTCTGTGTGATTATGAAGGGTATTTGCCAATCGAGCACAATCAATTTGTGTATATTATTTAGCTGTTGTGTTTGTTTCTGTGGCTGTCAACACACATGAATTCATAATTCGATGAGTGAAGCCATTTTGCTGTGCAGATTTTCTGCTTGGCTGCTGCTGTTATGTTTTTTAAGGTTTTTTGGTTTTTGGTTTTTAAACGATCGACTCGTCTCAACTGTAATGCAAATGTCAAACTTGCCGTAAGTGCTGCCATAATGACTGTCCTTTCAAGGACACACACGCGCAGAAATACACACTCACAAACAAAAAAAACAGCTAAATTCAAGTGCAAAGCACTTGAAAAAAAAAGAAAGAAAAATGTGACACTCACAGAAGAGCGTGTGTGAAATGCAGTGCAGCATTTGTCACAAATTAGCAGCCATTTAGAGTTAAATCAGGCGCATAATTATTTTCCCATTTGCGGTCCATCTGTATGTACAGATCTGAACACACATATCTCTCTGTATGGCTGGGCAGGTATTAGCTGGCTTGCCAAAAGGTGTAACGTGTGTGAGGACAAAAGGATGTGTGGTGTGTGGTGTGCGTGTGTGGGATTTCGAGCCTGGGGATTGTAATTGCAATTGTTGTAACTGTGTGGCAAATTGTTGGCTCTTGTCGCCTTTCAGCCAAGCCGACGGCGGCTTATTTAAATATCACCTAGCTGTTAAATAGACACATTACTAGCACTAATTTGTGGGCATTTGAAGCATTTGAAGCATTTCGGCTCAGACTTATCACACAGAGCCGCACTCAATTGATGTGAAGTGTTCTTAAGTGTAATTTGCCGAAACTATTCAAGGGCGCCCAAAGAACTCGTCGATAAGTTGGCCTGAATGCACTTGAGCCATGGCTCAAGATTCTGGTCTCTGGCCAGCAAAGATGTATGTACGTCAAATATTGCCAAGTTGTTGTTCAAGTTTTAAAACCCATTTCATGCCGTATACGCATAGGATATTTAAGGTTAAGCAACCCCTGAACGAGACCGACTCGATTAGAGTCAATTAGAGCGCGATTATAATGGCATTTTACATGGGTGACTGTGGCAACCCCTCCACTCAACACACCTCCCCTCCCCAGCTGGGCATTGCTTTAAAGTCATTGAAGAAATTTGCACATAAATTGCGTAAAGTGCAATTTTTTCAGCCCTAACACGTTCACACACATCACGCAGGATGCAGGGCGAGACGACAAGGACGATGTTCTGCTGTTGGCCTGGGTGTAGGCTGTGTCTGCAATCACCCCCATCGTTGCATCCCCTTTTGTGTGCGTATGTGTGTGTGTACCAGATCACAGTTGAATGGATTCTGCATGTAACTCTCTCGCTTTTTTGTTTGGTCAGCGAACATTGTCAGCCCAATTTCACACAAAAAATGCAATCAAATGTGACGCTTTTATTATTCTTGCGAATATCTCGCAATTGGAGTGGGACAAATTGAAATCAATCAAATTAAATCGCCTTGTTCGCGCAATTTTATGCAGACTGCATTTATGCTCAAAAGGATTTCACATACTCTTGCACTTGCAAATCCATCAAATTAGTTATGAAATATAATCATCGAGTAATTGCCCTGCCAAAATGTTTTATCACCCTTGGATCAGAATGCAATCGGCCTCACTAACGGACTAGTAAAACTTTCTTTACACAAAGCTTGTCCTTCTAATTTATTTATATTGGAATAGTATTTCCAAAGTCAATTGCTGTTTGTTCATGATTGAGATTAAAACTTCATTTAAATTTTGCCAGCCTCATTCTCGGCCGAAACTCTACCATTTTATCCATATGCCAGTCAGTTTCGATTAATAGTCTTATGGAAAATAATTTTTCTCTAAGCATTCGAAATGTTTGATTTTGAAAAAAAGCTTAAAAGTCTCAGGAGCACTTTGAATACGGTTGAGTGATTTCGAGCTCGGGTTTTTGGTGGCATCGATAATAATTGAAGTGAAAACAATGTGTGTTCGATGGCGTGTGTGTATGCTATGTGTGTGTGCTTACGAGTGTGAGTGTGTGTGTTTGAGGCGGTCGCAAAGCTTCTTGAAGAACTTGATGCCCGACTCATTGTACTTTGTGCTACGGCAGTCATACTAATTGACCATATGGGCCGTTCTGTGTTGCATACTTCAAATCGTCATCCCGAGTACGTTATTTGTGCTCTTTATTATTATGAATTTCAAATCGAATTTGTATTGAAATTAAAAACTGAAAATTGCATTATTTCGACGTGCCCGCTTATTGTGTGCGTGTTTATTTTTGTTTTTGTGCAAATTGATTAGTGGGCCGTACTCTCTGGGGTTGTACGGGCTGTGGGCTATGGGCTGTGGGCTGGATTCTGTTTTTTCATTTTTCCATTCGGGTTTGGCTTTGACTTGAGCTCAGAGTTTTACCTTTATATTTTGCATTGTTGTGCAGCGCCCTGTAAAGTGATTCGCTTGAGAAAACGCGAAGCCACATCGAATTCTACACAACACTCACTTGACTTGGGCTGTATGTACATATGTAAAAATTGCGACCATTTTATTTGTCAATTTTGTATGCGACAAAATTGGAGCTCTGCCAAAGAACGCATTCATTAATTAACCATCATCTGCAGTTGCCAGATGCAAGAGGCGACCGCGAAAAAAATGATTTCATTCATGAAGATCGAGTTTTAATGAAAAGGCCCAACGACACAGTGCAACATTGACAAATTGTCTGGTGTTGCGTGCGTTTGTTGCATCCGCAATTAGAAAGCAAAACATTCGTCTTTCTGTGCTTAAGATTGCTCATAATGTCATCTAATGGGCAGTTGCTAATTTGTCTGCTCTGCTCTGCATTTGGTGCATTATATTGCCGCCGATTTGTATAATCTGTTCACATAATTGGCGTTGGCAGTTTATTAAATACCCTACACTTGAAGTATGATAGGGTGTGTTCGCAATTTATGTCGATCTATAACATTATACCATTTAAAGCTAGAGTCCTTTGTCTGTATATAATTTTGAAGGTATCTGTGAATTTAAATGCAGCTTAGCAATTATCTTTTTGCTCAGGTAAATGAACAGATGCATTTTAATTAGGTTGAGCAAATTGAGCGTTTGCTTAATCTGGGCATATTTCTTTATAGATCTTAGTTGTTGCAATTAGTTGTTCTTGAGCTAATTTGAAAGTACTTTTAATAGTGAAGTAACCACATCATACTCAACATTTGCATCTAGTGATTTGCTTTGATCTTCGCCATGTTCTTGGCGATATTCTATGTTGTGGGCGATGTGCGTCATCGCCTATCGAGTTACGCTGTTTATAAAACTTGGCTATGCATAAACAAATGATTTTTCTCTATATGCTTTTAACTTTGGAATGCCTAGCAGCCAGCTAAAAATATCCAAAAGATTTGGACTTTTCGAATACACACACACACACCAAGAATGTATTTCGAAAATATTTTTGGCATGCCAATGAAAAATAACTTGAAAAGCTTTTGAAAAGCATAGGAAATATGAAACGCGACTGGAGCACGACAGAAAAAAGCTTTCGAGGTTCAACTGAAAGCAGAAAGCTGCTGCAGAAACATTCTCTGCAAGATCATAGAGCAGGAAACAGTTCCTGGCTGTACATGAATGGATGGATGGGATGGATGCAAAATGCCCTATGCCCCACAGTTACTCAACCCTGAACCGATGTTGTGAAAAAACCTTGAGGTTTTTAGAAAAGAATTAAATCTAAAAAATCGTTTTTATTTATAAATAATTATAAATTTTTTTAATTAAAATTACATTCATGCGATCATTTTACATTTCGTAACAATAGACCCCATAACACTATTGGATGATGTTCTATACAAAACAAGAGGTGGTATTTCTTAATAAAATAATCGGATGGTTAACATTGATGAAAACACGAAAAAAACAAATAAAATGGGGTTCGTTTTCATTATATAGTGTTCAGTCAGTAC